ACGTTGGTTTGTTTGAAAAAACAAATATACACAATTTAAATCCGGAAAAATAGTTTCATTTCCTATTAATATTTTTGAATAAGGATTATTTTGGCCAGAACTTGCTCCATAAAGTGTGTCTCATTTTGAGTTAAGTGGATATCTTTTGATTATTTCTTACAATATTCTAACGACGGTTTTTTTTGACGTGTAGAGAATTAAATTTTACGTTCAGTAATGATATAATATTAAATTTCACATATTTTGAGTTACAACACTATTGTAATAGCAGTGCGCCGTGTAGAAAGAACAAAATTTTTACATATAATTAGATTTTCATCACAGCAATGAACTCTAGATACAATCGCAAATGACCTGTGTAGAATATCCCTACAAGCTATATTCTAGCTCAAACAAGTCTTCTTTTATAATGCAAAATATTCGCTTACTGATAATTATACACAATTACGCAAAGAAAGAATGGCATATATAGGAACAATTTTAAGATGCCCACTTGTCAGCACGCGTCAGTATGTTTGATGCTGATGCTTACCAACTGAGAAGTGGGACCATACCTTATTGATCCATATGAATTATATTTAATTAAATAAAAGTAATACCAGACGCTGTGTTTCAATTTACACTAGATGAAATTGAATCTCCATCTATTTTCGATTTAATTTTAAGTATAACCAGAGCAAAATGGCATGTGATACTAAATAGAGTTCAAGTTTTATTTATTTGCACTTTGTTTGGTGTAAACAATTTATGTTGTGCTTTGCAAGAGAATTATGTATTTACAAATCTTCAAAATTTTTTCAATTTTATTTCAATTATTTTTTTCAAACAAAAGTTAAACAAGAACTAAAGGTCCTTTGCTTGTTGAAAATAATTTCTTAAGATCTATTTTTGATATTATAATAATGTACAAAATGTGCATTAGCAGTAAAGAAGAGTTATCACTATTTTTAGGATTCTGTAGCTGAAAGACAAATAAAGCTAGGTTTCTCTCTGTATATATCAAAACCTTATAACTTTCGTGTTTATCGACATAATGTCCTGAAATTTCATGGCACAAAGACACAGATGTCAATAAAAATTTGTACAACATAAAGAAAACATTGGAATGTATATCATTAAGTACCGATCAACGATTACAGCAGTTACCTATCAGTAGTCTGAAATGACATTTTCCAGAAATAAGGTTTGGTAGAAATTTCAAAACCACGGAGGAAAATGTTTTTTCTTTTAAACGTAACTTAGCCTAACCTAACCGAACCTAATTGTGTCTTTGCTATAAACATTCAACATATCCTGAAAGAACAACTGTTTCGTTATAATTCGGTTTTCGGTGTAATGAAAATTCAAACAAACATTATTTCAGTAAAAAAAATTTTCAACTGTGATAGGTTACCGCCTTTGGGTAGGAATAACCCCAAATATTACGACACATATGGAAGCACTGCAGTGGAACCACATTGAAGCTGAAGCTGCAGTTTTTAAATATAAACGCAGTTGCAGCGCTCCTATCATGACACGATACGACACAGCATACCAAGCTATACATTGACGGGTCTTGTTCTGAAATTGTAGTGATTCTGCTGTTTTTCCCACACCACTGAATGGAACAGCCCCCACTGTGAGACATATTATTATATTATTATAATGAATACTGAATATTTTTGGAATATACGGAGATGTACACACAGGTCAGTTGCTAGCACTGTACTATTTTAGCTTTCTAATTTGCAACGTGATTGCAAATGAGAGTTGATATTTAAAAGTGATTTAAGGCCCATTTGCCCGATGAGTTGCTAGACGTGGGTGGCCCTTATTTATATATAATGTATGTAATATAATGAATTTGTCTTCTTAAAGATAATGCACATCCTCGTCCAATATCATAAAATTTACCCTCCAAAAACAGGGTACAATTAAAAACAACCTAAGTATGATTTTTGTTTTACTCTTGTCTTTCATGATCTTTGTCCTTCTTCTTCTTCTTCTTTTTTTCTTTGCGAATTGAATCATCTGCTTCTGATTTAGCATCTGCATCCATTGTTACTTCATGTGATGACTCTCCGGCTTCCGAATCACGCTTCTTCTTCTTTTTCTTCTTCTCCGATTTCAATTCCAATGAGTTGTTAAGATCATCAGCATTTGCTGTGCTTGCTGTCCGTTTCCTACTGCCCTCTTCTTCAATGTCCCCATTAGCATCATCTTTCTTTCCTTTTCGGTAATCTACATAACTGTTCAACCATTCTGCTGGTGTATTTTCATTTGGTTTACCAAACTTATCAAGTTTCCCTTGTTGGATCAAAGATTTTTTCTGCGATGCTTTAGGACCAAGGCCCCATTTTCTTGGGTATGTATCTCTTTCCATGATTACTCTCTTCAATTTGGCTGCGACTCCATGGTCACAAGATGCCATGGTTGAAGTTGTCATCAAAGCAACAGCCAATGCTACAGCTTCACCTTTCGTAGTGACTATTACAATTTCTTGGTCAATTTCAATGCCATCTTCATACCTTAAAATACCAGGTAAGAGGACTTTTGCACCGTAGCACACAGCGTTTACAGCACTGTCCTTGATAAAAATTCTTTTGTGAGCGACTAGTAAGCCTTCCAGGGGTTTTATGACACGTCGCAGGTAAGTTTCATCTTTGTGATTTTCAAAAGCCCATTGAGCATCTAAAATATCATGCATCGTAACCATTCCTTCCTTCTCCCCTTGGATACCAGAACGGACACGTCTCAGCTCAATCATCTGTCCCCCTACACCGAGCATTAGACCCAGATGTACACACATTGTACGAATGTATGAACCGGCTTCGCAACTCACCCAGAACACACCAATATTCCGTTCATGATCATAATCGAGGAGTTTACTGTCATAAACGCTGCGGACACGGAGCTGGCGTTTTACAGCTGATATAAGTGGAGGACGTTGAAATAAAGCACCTCGAAGCTTCTCCAGACCTTGAGTGACCTTTTTTATTCCGTCTACAGCAGAATGAAGATTGAAAACTGCCACATACTCCTTACCAGCGTTCTGCTGCGACTTTACAAGACGAGTGGCTCGATCTATGCAAACTATAAGACATCCAGTGACTTTCGGGTCAAGTGTACCAGAATGACCAGTTTTTTCTACTTTAAGGATGCGTTTTATCCATGATACCACTTCGTGAGAGCTCGGGTTGCTCGGTTTGTCAACATTAATGAAGCCACACTTAATATATTCGCCGATAGGACGCTTCAGGGGCGAGTGCCCAAATGGCAGCGGCGTGTAATGATTAGTGCGCACATTGAGTCGATCGAAATTCTTCAATAACAAAGGCCAGTAAGCAGTATCAAGCTTGCTCACGCTCTCTGATGGCTCGATCTTGAAGTCTTGAAGCTTTTGAAACGTCCCTAAGGACACGGTCTCTTTACTTTTCTTCTTTTTCTTCGAATGGACCTCCGCACCGGGTTGTATCACTTCCGTCATTTTTACAACAAATTACGCACTGATTATTCAAATTATACCCAGTTTACGTATAGTAATCGTACATAAATTAGTGCGATGGCCTAATTTCGGGCACTGTGTGTAAATTACGACTCTAAAATCACGCACAAACAACGAAACGACACGTGCAGTGCGTCGAAAAGAGGTTATCATTTGTTGATTGCATGTTTTCCCGACGGGTGGCGCTCACGTTTTAACAGTGCCACCAACAAAAAAGTAAAAATCGCGTTCTCAATTAGATTGACAATTTAATGGCCCCATAAGGCTTTACAATAATAACTTAATTTATGGAGTTGATTGAAAGTAATATGATCAAAATTTCTTATTATTTGCTATGGATAGAGTAGTCCTGACTTGAGCATTGAGTAGAGTTCTGAAATATGACCCTGAGAATGAAAACTGGAAAAAACACAAATATAATGTACAAATTCCGAACACAGCTACAAAATTAAAAAGCCAGGTCAGCCAACATTCAGAAAATCAGTGTCACTGTCAGATCGATTTACGGCGTGTGTTTATCAAAACACGCATATATTTTTCCGTTTCCATGGAATAATACGAGAAAATAACACAATGGCAGGCGTATTATTTGAGGATATCTTCAACGTCAAAGACATGGACCCTGAAGGAAAGAAATTCGATCGAGTTAGTCGATTACACTGTGAATCGGAGTCGTTCAAAATGGACTTGATTCTTGATATCAATTCGTGGGTTTATCCAATGGAGATAGGTGATAAGTTTAGATTGGTGCTTGCGACGACTCTTAGAGAGAACGGGTACCCAGATGGAGGAGAATGGAATCCTCTGGAAACCGAGGGAAACCGTGCAGACAGCTTTGAATATGTCATGTCGGGGAAAGTTTATAGGTTAGTTTAGTCGTGTATTTAGCGGCTGGAATTTTGTTTACCGAGTTTGTAATGTATGTAAAAGTGTTTGTAGGGGCGTAAATGAACTGCTGTGCAATTTTTCGTTTCCGATATGAACAACTTACAAGATAAATAACTAAGCAAAAAATGTGTTGGAAATGCTGGTTTTCAGCTTTAGTTTATATAGCTTTAACGAGGCTTTGGTTTAGCTTAACTAAAACAAAGCCTCATTGAGAGCGACGTTTAAAAAATATTTATAAAATTAATCATTTTGTACTTGCTTATCCCCATGGGTTTTTTTATAATATCAAGTGATGGGATGAACAAGTTGTGCCCCTGATAGTAAGTCACACGTCTGCCCATAACAATTGCAGTGTTTCAAGTTCTTAGGTTTTCGCGATTGTTACACATAGGAAATGAAAATTTTTTCCGGATTTAAATCGCATATATTTGTTTGTTCAAACAAAATGACATTCGTCCCATGGTCACAGTTGAGTCAGTCAAATAAATATACTCGATTTAAATCCCGAAAAATAGTTTCATTTCCTAATTGTAGTGTTACTCAGAGCTTTAAATCATAAAGATGTGGGAGCACCGCACTGCACCCGTCACCCTGAGACGTAAGTTGACAAGTCTTATGTCATATAATGCCATATAGTTATGATGAGCTGTTAAGTGACACATGATAACGAACTTTGTTTTGAAGCACATAAGGCACACTGTTGACTGTCACCTAATTGTTAGTCAAGTCTATCTAATTTGTTAGTCAGTCTTGTATGCAGGGTGGAAACAAATTGTATGCTAGAAACAAGGCTCATAGTAGGACACTGGACTCCTCTAATGAAACTTTACGTATTCAACATTTAAATTTATCAACCTGTTATGCATCCTAGGGATACCATGCGTATTTAACGCGCAACTGTGGTTTAAAAAATAAATATTGAAAAAAGAAAATTTTTTAAATTAAGAAATCAGAAATTTCTAATTAAAAACGTATGTTTTCAGGATAGAAGGAGATGAAGCCGCGATGGAACCTGCCTCCAGACTAGCCGCATATGTATCGTTCGGTGGTCTCCTAATGAGACTGCAAGGAGACGCAAACAACTTGCACGGGTTTGAAGTCGACCAGCACATGTATCTTTTAATGAAGAAATTGGCTTTCTAAATTTAGTAACAATTATGTATAAGAGTTTAATTTAAGATAAAATAAGTTTATTAATTTTACAATTTGGGCTTTCTTTTACTTGGCCTCGCTCAATAACACATCATTTGGCATAACAAGCTTTAGCGCAGTGTGTCCATACTAAACGTCGTCAGTAGACTAGAAAATAACGCGTCTGTAATAAACAATGTAACTTTCAGAACAGACAGAAGGGTAACGTCAAATGTGGTCTACCCCAAATAAATACTTTTAATTCGTTTTCGTGTTTGTAATATGGACAGTCAATTTGAATAATTAAAATGGTATATTGCATTTTGAACAAAACGTGATAATACTAAGGAAATTCATGTATTACAGCGCCCTCCTGTGTTCAGTGGCGTAACTATTGCAATACCACCATCTATTGATAACTTTTAGCATTAATATATTACGCTCTTTAAAATAGTTCATAAATTTGATACTAGATGGCTGTTTTTACAAAAGTATTCATCCTTGCCAATAGATGGCGCTATAGAACGTATTGTTGTCAAATGGAGACTTGTTCCCAGAACTACTGCTGTGATGCAAATAGAAAATAATTCACATGCAATTTTTTAAATATTGCTTTCGTATATAAATAAAGTTATTAATAGTATGGTACAGACGTGTGTCAAGCATTTAATTCAGTAGAATAAGATATTTGTAAGGCATAAAAGTCAGGACTCTACACTTGACCCTGTTAAGATTTAAATCAATTCGGTGTGTCAAACTTGGTGTGTTCTTGACTGTATTCCGTTACTAGGTATATTGTCTATTAATATCTATGATAATGTTCACTGCAACTTATTATGATATTTGTAGGCACCTAAGAATTGGACAAGTTAGTACTTTAGTTAGGATTATTTACAAATGACAAATCACTATCAAAAAGACGAAGAAAACGACCGCAATCCAAAAGTAACCCTCAAAGTGCGTTCACACGCATGACTTCACGCAGCGCGCACGTGGCAGTAACGAGCTCTGCGCGAGTGTGAGCGCGCCTTATTGGCTTCGTTCGAAATTTGAATTGTTCTTTGTTCACATTTTTAATTGCTTGTTGTTTTTGCAACTTGGGTACTGAAATCAATAAAGAACCTTCTAGAAGCATTCAATACGGTACACTTCGATATTTAAACAATATTCCAGTTTGTAGAGTTGATGCAACACGTACTATCTATTATTTCTTCTATTTATTATCAACGTCATTCCGGTCTTAGTTTCAGCAGTACATTAAATTTGTCGTGCTCTTTAAAACAAAATATGTGTAAATAACTTCAGATCTATAAGCGACTGTACCTGTGCTAAGAAGGGCGCGAAAATTAGTTCAATTTGTCGCAAAATGGCGCGCGAATAACGAGCTGCCAGTAATTACGGCCGATGCCGACAGCGTTCCAAATATGAATTTTAAAAACGAAGTTCCTTAATTAGGAGGGACGCAATTCGGAAACTTCGAAAACTTAATAATGTGGAGTTTTAGGTATACCAGAAAGTTATTCTAGACTATAGGTAAATCCATAGTGCGTCACGCTGGTCTTCGAGTTTAGATCGTCACTAGTTATCGAAGCATTTTCGTCTCTACAAAACAGCCTTGCGCACTGAATAAACTTTCAATGGTGTAGACTTAGAATAATAACGCATAGAATGATAGTTTCATATCAAACGAACTGTCACAAGTGAGGCAAAAACCAAATTCATGTAGGCGTAAGCAACTTGTATTTACGCTCGTCGGCACGCTGTTATATAATACAATATTATAATACAATACATATGTTATATAAATACAATACAATGTATAATCAATAGCTAGATAAGTATTTCGAATGTAAACATACTCACCTAATCATGTAAACACTCACTAAGGAAATGCTAAGGTCCATTTCACAATAGTTAACTAATGATGTATTACTTAACTAATTATGTTTAACTATCTCATCGTTTTTCTACTATATAATCTTAAACCATAAGAACTGTAATTGATTACTATTTCCTAACTCATAGACATCACATCTCTGTAAAATACTTATAATTTAATAAATATATTTTTTTTAAAAGTTCTCTCGCTGCTCATTTGGTAACATTTGGCGCAGTCGGTAGGATCGCGTGTGTGCATTCGAAGTAGAAACGCGGTTTCTTAGTTCTACAATCGGACAACATCGCCGGAAGAACAAGCAAGAAGACCGTGGTAGCTGAAGGCTTTTGAAATACTTCACGAATGGAGCTCTCGATCTGCATATTACTGTGGTGAGTGGCTAGAACTTTGTGCTCAAATTCCTAAATCCAAACTCTAAATCTAAATGAAACTAAATCTACACTAACCCCAAACACTAAATCAAATCTAAATCAAGATCAAACTCTAGATCCAAATCAAACTCTAAATCTAAATAAAACTAAATCTACACCAACTCCAGGCACTAAAGCGCCTCACTCGGAAAATACTAATTCAACCAAAACTCCAACTCCAGACACTAACTCAATTCTACCTCAATCGTCTCAATCCAACGTCTCAACAAAACTCTCGAAATCAAAGAACAAGCGTAAACTTAAAATCAAATCCAAATCTAAATCAAACCAATCAACTGAAAAATCTGAAACTGAATCGTACAACATCTCGTCCCTCAATATTCCACCCGAAAATCTTCTACACTGCAAATTCCATGTTAACGGTCAACCTCTCACTCTGCTGATAGATACAGGAGCCGCTATTTCTGTCATTCGCAAAGACAAGATAGGATCTCATCCCATCAATAGCAGAAACAAAGTGTCTATCATAGGCGTTTCAAATAACGACTCTACTATTCGCACGTATGGCACCTCAGACATTTCTCTAGATCAATTCGCAAAGCACAAATTCCACATAGCTGACCTAAACATTGCATCAGACGGTATTTTAGGCAATGATTTCATGTCCAAATTCAACGTCAACATCTATGTACAGTCCAAAACAATGCGAGTCCGCGACAGATCTTACAATCTCTTTTTCTTAGGCGATAAAGTCAAACAAATTGACAATAAACAATTCATACCAAAACGTTCAGAAACAGTTATTAAATGCTACAGCCCTAAAATAACGAATGGAACAGCTATTATCGAGAAACAGATAATTAATGAAGATATCACCATTCCAAACGCCCTAGTCAACATCGTCAATAATAGTTTCCTGATAACGTGCGTAAACACCAGCGAGGAAGACAGATACATAACAATGCCCACTTCAATACAAGCAAATCCTTTTCAAGAGATTGAACTACAAGATCAAACGCTAATTCATTCAGTAAACATAAACAACTCTCATACAGACATTCAGGAAAAAATAAAAAATTTAGTTAGACGCGATCACTTAAATCAGGAAGAATACAATTCACTCAATAAAATTATTAATAACTTCTCAGACATATTTTACACTGAAGGCGACTCGCTGACATTCACCAATCAAACTAAACATTCAATACCAACCACATCTGAGACACCTATCCACACTAAGACATACAGGTTCCCCTTCGTACACCGTGAAGAAGTCAGAACACAAGTAGATAAAATGCTTCAGGATGACATTATTCGCCCTAGTACTTCCCCGTGGAGTAGCCCAATTTGGGTAGTTCCGAAGAAACAAGACGCCTCCGGTAAGCAAAAATGGAGAGTCGTCATCGACTATCGTAAGTTGAATGAAATTACGATTGGTGATAGCTACCCCCTACCCAATATAAATGACATCCTCGATCGACTAGGTCATTCAATTTACTTCACTACACTAGATCTTGCTTCAGGTTTTCACCAAATAGAACTAGACCCTAAAGATATACCTAAAACCGCTTTTAATACCCCGTTTGGACACTACGAATTCCTAAGAATGCCTTTCGGACTCAAAAACGCACCAGCAACGTTTCAACGTGCTATGGACAACGTTCTGTACGGTCTGCAAGGAGAACGATGCTTTGTTTACTTGGATGACATCGTTGTCTTCGCCTCAAGTTTACAAGAACACGAACAAAAACTTACAGAGGTGTTCGAACGTCTTAGAAAACATGGCCTTAAGATCCAACCGGACAAATGCGAATTTTTAAGAAAAGAGGTAGCTTACCTAGGTCACATCATTTCCAGCGAAGGTGTTAAACCAAATCCTGAAAAAGTTAAAGCAGTCAGAAACTTCCCAACTCCTAAATCATGTAGAGACATAAAAGCATTCTTAGGTCTTGCAGGTTATTACCGCCGATTCATAACCAATTTCAGTAAAATCACAAAACCTTTGACCAGCCTCTTAAAAAAGGACGTACCCTTTATATGGGGCAAATCCCAACAAGAAGCTTTCGATACTTGTAAAAACATCCTCACTACGACACCTATCTTACAATACCCAGACTTCACCCAGAAATTCATTTTAACCACAGATGCTTCAAATTATGCACTTGGTGCAATCCTCTCTCAAGGTGAAATAGGTAAAGATTTACCGATAGCTTACGCATCCCGAACTCTCAACAAAGCCGAAATCAATTACTCTACAATCGAACGCGAGATGCTAGCCATCGTTTACGGCGTCAATCACTTTCGACCATACCTGTTCGGAAGAGAATTCACAGTAGTCACTGATCATAAACCACTGAAATGGCTATTTAATATGAAAGACCCAGGTAGTCGTCTCGTTCGTTGGAGACTAAAACTGGAAGAATACACCTTCAATATCCATTACAAAGATGGGAAAAATAATACCAACGCTGATGCTCTATCCCGACCTCCTATATTAAATTCAAATATAATTGATCTAACCTCTGACGATTCATGTCCCACTCCTGAAGACTATCTTCAATTAAACTACGAACATTTCAACTCCCAAGACAGAAGTTTCGATTCACCTAAACTCAAGATATCTCCTAATAAACTCTTAGACCTACGTCATAAAAATGTATTTATTCCAGTCTCGTGCCAACTCTCAGATCTCAATGACCTTTTTAATGAAGCCATTAACTCTTGCTCTCAAGTCCAACCCTATTTAGGAAAATCTAAATCTCTTTACGATACCGATCTCCTTATATCAAACGAGAAACAAAATCTTTACTTTTCTGTCACAAGACCAACGCATTTCGATCCGTGGGATTGTGAAAACTATTTCAAATCTCTCTTATCCTGCCTTCAGGAAAACGACATCCCAACTCTCGTTGTACCCGACTTAAAAAACGACAAAACTTGTAAACTACAAGGTAATGAACAATTACGCATTACAGCATATCTAGCCGAATTATACAATTGCGAGATTACAATATGTGAAAATAGAGTAGAATATCCTAAAGCAAACGAAATCCCAACTATCTTAAAAACTTACCACGATGAACCACTTTCTGGACATCGAGGCATCGTAGAAACCACCAGGAAAATTCGAGAAGATTATTTCTGGAAAGGAATGACCGACGATATCAAACACTACGTTGAATCTTGCGTAACGTGTCAACGAAATAAAATTCAGAGGAAAAACTTTCAAGCCCCTATGGTGATAACATCTCAATCAAACGAACCCTTTCAAAGAGTCTCAATGGACTTAGTTTCCTATTCCGACGTAAGTGACAATAACAATAAATACGTTCTAACTCTTCAAGACGAGTTAACTCGTTTCGTCCAAGCCTATCCTATTCCCAACAAAGAAGCCATAACTGTTGCCGAACAACTTCTACACTTCTGCCAACACTACGGCATTCCAAAACGATTCCACTCCGACCAAGGCTCAGAATTCATGAACAGCGTTCTCAAACAGTTAGTCAAGTTCTTAGGTACAAACCATTCCTTCAACACCGCCTATCATCCTCAGACAAACGGAGCTCTAGAAAGATTCCATGCTACATTGCGTGATCACATCCGAATGTACCATAGTCGTCGTCTCAAAAACTGGGACAAAATTATCCCATTTGCCATAATGTGTCACAATACTTCTGTAAATACCTCAACAGGTTACACTCCTCACGAACTTCTCTTCGGCTTCAAGCCACGTCCCTTTTACTCAACAAAAGTCGTTCCGGACTATACGGCATGCGACTATCTAAAAGATCTAAACGAACGTCTTCGTATTTCAAGGGATACTGCTCAACAACACATCCAGAAAATGAAAGAAAGAGCAAAAGAGCGATACGATGGTCAAATCAAAAATCTAGCCCGATTTAGAATAGGTAGCAAAGTCATGTTGCGCGTCCCCAATCCAAATAATCTAGACCCGAAATGGGAAGGACCTTACGAAGTTATACGTGTCGGTTTCAATGAAAACTACGTAATTAAGAAATCACGTAAAAATGAAATCGTGCATGCAAACCGCCTTCGTCCATATCATCAGCATGAGACCTTAGTTTAGCCTAATAAAATAAGTAAGTAGTATAGTAGTAGAATACATTTTAAACAAATTCCTTTTATAATAATTACAGGCTCAGCTCCTCTACAGCAGCCCAAAACCCGAACTCCTTTTATACTTTTACGAATTTCGTTAATAATCCTTACATAAGCTTCGTAATCATGTCTATCTT